CGATTCATATTCACGCGATTTTAAAATCCAATTTCGTGATTCATATTCACGCGATTTTGAAATCCAAAATCGCGATTCATATTCATGCGATTTTATAATCCAATATCAAGATTCATATTCACACGATTTTAAAACCCAATATCGCGATTCTTGAAAGAAGTAGAAGTAAGCTTTCTCTTGAATTAGTTACTGTAAAGATGTGATATATTTTTCATTAGTAAGTAATTTAATATCCTATTATTGCGCCTTCCTATAATTGCTTTTTTTTTTATGTATTAGTGGTCAAAATTTGAAAATTACATTTAAGAAAAATTTAAAGTTAACTGTCTAAATGCTTCTGCCACTTTAAATATTGAATAAAAGTCTCCCAGCATTGTTAAAAGTTGCTTTTATAAATCTCAGTATCATATAGAGCCCTCTCCCCTCCTCCTAGTGACCTGCGTAGTAAAAGTTCAGTTTTTTTTAATTTTTGTCCACTTTCATGCCTGTTAAACTTGATGTATTATGGTAAAGCTTTCTTCGATAGTTTGCATATGTCGAGGGGGTATTGTGTATGTTAGGTATTTCAGTCAAAAAATTTTCAGTCTTGGCCTTTTTTCCAACTTGCACCCATGGCATCAGCTTGAAGATACATTATAAAGGGAATTTTTTTTCCTTATAGATTTCTTCAGAGGTCCCGTCATAGAATATGTGAATCTCAAAGGCTTAGAGCATTTGTTAGTGTTTTCTGTGTTTAATGAAAAGATATGCTTTAGAAGTTACAGGTATGTATACTTTATTTTTAAATGTTGACGTTCAAATAGTACTTTTATTATAACAATTGTGCTTAATGAAAAGTGATAATGAATATTTGTTACATTTTTTGTATCATTCAGGTTATCATTTGTTTTTTCTAGAGTATCTCTGAAAAAAACAGAATCAAAAGAGCCCGGTGTTGAACTGGAAGAAATAGGACCACACATGAACTTGACTCTTCGACGTTCCAAATTAGGTTCTGATGACTTCTTTAAGCAGTCTTGTAAACAGCCAAAACAATTGAAGGTAAACTAAGGCTTTATTTATTGTGATTTTTGAACTTTTAAGATTACATATCAAAAATGGAGTTTATGAGTTATAATTTAGTATATTAACAGACATATTATGTTAGAATTATAGTTTGGAAGAAAATGAAAAGATTTTGCTGTAAGTATTTGCTAGTTATTATTATTAGTGTGATTTTTGGAGCTGTTTAAGTCTTAACAGAGATGTGAATGAATTTTTTTTTTTAACTAGCTTTAATTTTCATTAGATTTAATATTCATATTTTCTATGATAAAAATAATAGATATATTTTTCAATAATAAATATATTACTAATGTGTGATAATATGGGTAAAAAAATATTTGTTTAGGATTATAAACCAAATTATATTCAATCCAAAATGAATTGATACATAATCCAAAGTAATATTTAAACAAAGTGATGATGATTTCAAGAGTACCAAGAATGAAGTATCATTTATTAACAAGATACAAACAATTGAAAACACATAGAGCATTATCTGGCATTATTAAAAAGAAAAGCCTTTGCAGCATCATTTAATATTACACTCTTACTTTTTTGATAATTTCAAAATTAATTTTATAAAAAAGAAAGACAAATTTAAAAACTTCCTTAATTTCCTATTGCTATAAGAATTTTTTCCTTAAAGTCAGAAAATGATTATTTAGACTGTTGATTGATATTTGTTATGAAAAGATTTATCTCTTATGAAAGGTACTATTATCAAGGCGTGTCTGGATATTAAGTACAAAAGGCAGCTAATATTGTTTTTCAATTAAATGAAGCCAGCTTTGAGAAAATACATCCTCACTAGCCACCTCCTGGAAGACTATTTTTCAGACACGTCTCGTTGAAAGCTGATAAAGATATGAAAAGCTACTTTGTACTAAGTAATGAAAAAGCCATCATTTAAGCCAAGACAAAAAGAAAATTCATTAAATCTTTGCCTTCTTAGATATTACTTACACCAAAAGGAACAGTTACTTTATATCATTTCATCATATTATAATCATAGGTGTTGATTTTCCAATTGGTACAAAAGGAAAATATGTGTATAAAATTGAACTAATCATTATGCTACTAATTATTTCATGGTTTGTCATTTTTATATACTTAAAATTAGTATAAATTTTTCATTTGCAAAGTAAAGGATTTGCAGCTAAGAATGGAGCAAAATTGCATTGCTTTTTTCGATTTTTGTTTATTATTTTTTTTTATTTACTAGTTTTATGAAATACTAAGTACTAAAATGTTTGGAGAACAGGACAGATTTGGTCCCTGTCTGTTGTTGAATGGTTCTGAAATAAAAATTTTCATTGCATTAATTTTTTTTTAGATAGAATTAAAGGTAGCAACAAAAATAAGAACCTTATAATATTTTTTTTTATGTATTTCTTGCAAGTTGTAATAATTTGCAATTGGGTTTCATGTTACTTACATATTGTTCAAATTTATCTGGTTTTATTTTTCAGTAATTCTAATTCAGTTCTTATATTATATTTATTTTCTATTCATATTAATATGTTTTTCATTTTTAGCCCACAAAAGTAAAAAATATGAAGAAGGACACATTTGGTTCCACTCATGGCAGAATTCACATGGAGCGCCAAGATTACTCAAACCTGCAAACTAGAAAAATGAAGGGCTTAAAGAAGCAAAAAATGGGAGAAATGGTTTCTCAAGTGGAATCTTCAGATGGACAAACACCGAAAAGGAAAGCAGAGAAGACAGATTCACCTGTCAAACTTAAAAAAATTAAAACATAAAATTAATAATAAATTTTGTATCTGATTGATTGATCTCTTCACTGTTAGTCTGAACTCTGTAATTTAAATGTAAGTTCAAGTCTTTATCAGTTAAAAATTTACAATTATGAAAAAAGCATTTTCTTTCATTTTATGAATATGCTTTTCAGGTTATTTCACTAAATAGGGAACAGCGTTTAAAATTACATGGGAGGTGATAAAAGATTTTAAAATCAAATCTCCATATCAGATCTTTAATAACTTCTTAATTGTAATATTAAATTCTCTTTTTCATACATTTATTTCTATTTTAGAAGCTGTTTTTTACCTTAAATTTAATTTTATAAAATAAAGTGTAATCATTAGCTTAGAAAACATTCAAAACAATATTAATCCTTTTCTTGTGTCCGGTACAGCATATGTACTGGTCGAAAAGACTCCACTCCTTGCGAGGTTGAATTTTGTACCAGTGGTTCTCTTTGCCCCTATATTTTATGACTGCCATCGATCCTGTCATTTCTTCCCCCTGAGGGGGTTTACCTTCTTCAGGTAAACACAGGGAGTCACCCTAGTGATCTGTCCTCCCTTCGTTTTCCTCTCCCTTTACTCCTACTTTTCCCTTTCACTTCCCCCTAGTCGTGGTTGCCAAATTTACTGGTGAGGGCTTGTCATCTGTTTGATTACCACTCTGTTGTGTTGGACATAGATGGGAAGAGACCACCCGCGTGTCCCTGGAAAAGGGGATCCTGGTAGTTGAGGGGCATCTTGGTACTCCAATACACTGCTTTGACCCTTGCTTCAGGTAAACGGGAGGTGCATATTGGCCTGTATGCATCGACCGGCTTGCCACGAACATCATCTGTTGGCTTGGGTCAAGTCCGGGGTCACTTGCTGGGCACCTTGTTAAGGGTGGAGGCTGCTTCAGGGGTGACTCGCGGGCGTATAACTATAGGCTAGCATTGGTGTATGTAACGTACTGGTGTCAGAACCAATATGTTGCCTGCATCCCCTTAATTGGACTCCTTGGTGGGTGGTGCCGCTGGTAGTTGAAGTCCTTGAAATTTTCTATGGCGGCAAGGTGTTTAGTTCCGCACACCATAGCAAAAAAAGCGGAACACCTTTACCACCGTGTGAATATGCTGGTTATTTTAATATAGCATTGTTAAATCCCCCTGTTTCTAACACTTCGTTTAGTAAAATATCCCCATTTTTGATACACAAAGCTCTTATCTCTGTTTTAGGAGAAGTAACGTCTGTTCGAAAATTACGATCAGGTGACCTCTTAGTACAGGTATCATCTGAAAAACAAGCGACTACTCTATCAACCTGTATGTGTTCGTTTTCAGTAAACGTCACACCTCATAAGACTCTGAACACCTCACGAGGGGTGATATCGCAATCAGAATTTATTGATGACACAGAAGAAATGATTGTAGATGAATTGCGCGATCAACATGTTATTGCTGTAAGAAGAATTAAGGTTCGTAGGAAAGGAATGGCCAACTCGTTCCCACGAAACATCTCATTCTTACTTTCGCTACTCCGAAGTTGCCATCTGAAGTCAAGCTTGCCTGGTATAACTGTCCGGTTGGACCATACGTGTCAAACCCTTTGAGATGTTTCCAGTGTCAAAGGTTTGGTCACTCAAAGGCCTCTTGTCGTAGCACACCTATTTGTGCTCGCTGTTCTGGTTGTGGCCATGATGATACTTCCTGTGAGTTACTGGCCCTCTGCATCAATTGCAAGGGTAATCATGCGGCCTACTCCAGGAATTGGTCACAAGAAAAAGAAATACAGACCATTAAAGTCATGCAAAATTTGACTTTTAATGAAGCACGGCGAATGGTTACCGCTCGAACTCTCCGTCCGGGCGTATCCTATTCTGCAGCTGTAAAAGCAACCTACAGCTCTGTCAGCACACAAACTGATACTCCTTTCACGCTAACGTCTACCAAACAGCCTACTTTTCATTTTGGAGCATCGAAACCTAATGTTTCGAATCAAGCAGTTCTCCCTCGCCCACTTCTCCACCTTCTAAAGCAGCTAAATTAGATCAATATGATAAATTTCCGAAGAAGCAACAGCGCATAGACATAATCCCCAACCAATACGTCAACGTCCTGGACAAACGAAAAAGAAAAAAGATCCGAAGTACCTCCAGTTTGCCAATTCAGCTACTGGAGTTTTACAAAATCTTGAAAAGGACTATGAAGTGTCCATTTATCTCTCTGAAGACGAAGAAAGCATTTTAGATTGTCCTCCGGTTAATCAAGAGATCATGCAAATCTCACAATCCACAACATAATGGCATTTACACTTATTTCGTGGAACTGTCGTGGCATTCGCAATAAATCAACTGATGTCAGAGAGATAGTCTCTCGATATCAACCTACGTGTATTTTATTTCAAGAAACACTCTTAAAATCATCAGACAAGTTTCACTTGTGTAATTACTCGTGTTTCCGTAACGACTGCGATGATCGCAACCGACCACATGGTGGTGTTGCGATTTTAACTACTAATAACTTACCTTTTATTAGCATTCCATTGACAACCTCATTACAGGCTATTGCTATTCAGATTCATATCAATGTTCTCATCACTATATGTTCCATTTATTTACCTCCCAATGACTCGATTTCACAAACTGATTTGAATTGCTTGATTAATCAATTACCTAAGCCTCACATTTTATTAGGAGATTTTAATGGCCACGGTGTATTGTGGGGCAGTTCTGTCTCCAATGATCGGGGTCGAAAAATCAAAAAACTCATTGAAGACCATGACCTTTGCCTGCTGAACCAAGGCGAAGAAACATACTTTCATGCGCCCACACGAACATACCATTCCATTGATTTGGCTTTCTGCTCATCAGACCTCTTACCTTTAACTCAATTTTCTGTAGACAATGACTTACACAACAGTGATCACTTTCCCCTCGTTGTTTCATATTCTGCTACTGCACCTATTACTCCTAGACCTCCAGTATCCATCTATCATCGCGCTAATTAGAGTTTGTTTACTAAACTTGCACAGACCACTGATTCCCTCGTTACCTGTAATACTATAAATACAATTGTTGATAATGTTACGTCTGTAATTATACACGCAGCTGAAGAGAGTATATCAAAGACCTCCACTTCACTTCCCCACCATCGCAAGCCTTGGTGGAATGAGGAATGTGCCACTTCTTATAAAGATAAGAGACGCCTTTGGAACATCTTCCGCCGTACCCCAACAACAACGAATCTCTTAGCTTTTAAACGAGCTAAAGCCTTTGCCCGCNATTCCATTCCATTGATTTGGCTTTCTGCTCATCAGACCTCTTACCTTTTACTCAATTTTCTGTAGACAATGACTTACACAACAGTGATCACTTTCCCCTCGTTGTTTCATATTCTGCTACTGCACCTCTTACTCCTAGACCTCCAGTATTCATCTATCATCGCGCTAATTAGAGTTTGTTTACTAAACTTGCACAGATCACTGATTCCCTCGTTACCTCTAATACTATAAATACAACTGTTGATAATGTTACGTCTGTAATTATACACGCAGCTGAAGAGAGAATACCAAAGACCTCCACTTCACTTCCCCGCCATCGCAAGCCTTGGTGGAATGTGCCACTGCTTATAAAGATAAGATACGTCTTTGGAACATCTTCAGCAGTACCCCAACAACAACGAATCTCTTAGCTTTTAAACGAGCTAAAGCCTTTGCCCGCAAGGTCCGACGTAAGAGTCAGAGAGATAGTTGGTCGAGATGTGTTTCCTCTATTACATCGTCGACATCTCCGACCCAAGTCTGGTCAAGAGTAAAGAGAGCAAATGGTATTTACCGGGACTTTCATTATCCAGTGTTTGAGATAAACGGCATCAAATACTCGTCTTCCATTGATGTATGTAACATTTTAGGCGAAACATTTGCAGCTACCTCAAGTCCAGACAATTATAGCACAACATTTCAACTACACAAAAGTAACGCTGAAAGCCAAAATATTAATTTTAACAGCCGCCAATTCACACCATACAATTGTACTTTCACCCTTCCTGAACTAAAGAGAGCACTGTTTAGATCATCCAACACAAGTCCAGGTCCTGATAGGATTACATATAAAATACTCCGCCACTTGGACACGAGGTCTTTAAAGAGTATTCTTGCCCTATTCAACAGAATATGGACAGAGCAGATGTACCCGTCGAGTTGGCGTGAAGCCATTGTAATACCCATATTAAAGCAAGGAAAAGAGCCCATTAACTATCGCCCTATAGCACTAACCAGCTGTTTTGGTAAAACGCTTGAGCGTATGGTACCTCATACCAAACTTTCAGAGTGGTTTTCGTAAGGGAAGATCCACAATTGACAACATCGTTGCTCTTGAATCTAGAATTCGCAATGCTTTTGTCCGGCGCAATCATCTAGTCTCTATCTTCTTTGATATCGAGAAAGCCTATGATCGGAGTTGGAGATATGGAATTCTGAAGGCACTGCTTGATATGGGTTTCCGTGGTCGTTTGCCAATTTTCATAAAAAATTTCTTGCTCAGACGCTATTTTCGTGTTAAGCTTGGATCCAACTTTTCTGACCTATATATTCAGGCTGAGGGTGTTCCCCAGGGCAGTGCTAAGTGTCATATTGTTCATCGTTCATATTTCACTAGTTTTAAACGTACTGCAACCTGCTGTCTTTGGCTCTCTATATGTTGATGATCTACAAATCTCGTGTTCAGAATCCGACATGAGAGTCATCGAGCAACAACTTCAGTTAGCAGTGAATAAAATTTTAGACTGGTGTGATCATAATGGCCATACCCTTTCACCTTCTAAAAGTTCAAGCATTCATTTATGTCGGAAACGCGCACTTCATAATGATCCTGTCATTTTCATTCATAACATTGCTATACCAGTTGTACCACATGCAAAATTTTTAGGAGTCACTTTTGATAGCAAGTTAACTTTTATCCCTCATATCAAACAGTTACGAAAGCGATGCGAGCAAAAACTGAATATGTTGCGTGTTCTCTCAAATACGTACTGGGGAGCGGACCGCCTAGCACTTTTACGCATTTATCGGGCCCTGATACTTTCACGGCTTGATTATGCATGCGTTGTTTATGGTACTGCAACCACCTCTAACTTACGAATCTTGGACACAGTACATCATACTGCTTTACGCATATGTTCCGGAGCATTTCGTACTTCCCCGGTTGAAAGCTTATATGTTGTTTGTCACCAGATACCATTATATCTACGTCGCATCCAGCTGTCTCTTACATATTACTTTAGTATCATGTCCTCTAAATCGCATCCTTTAAAGCATGATGTTATTTCATCAAGCTTGGAGCGACTGTATATTGCTAGACCATCACACATTCCCCCACTTCATGCTCGCACACGCTCACTTATCCAATCATTCGATATTTGTGAATTACCATCACAATCAGTGGATCACTTTCTCATACCACCATGGACCATTTCACCATACCAATCTATTTCCCTTTTCAAGTTACACGATAAAGCCAACGTTACACCCTGCATTTTTCATACACTTTTCACTGCACATCGTCACCAATATTCTCACAATATATACCGATTTATACAGACGGTTCAAAATCTGCCGGATATGTAGGATGCGGGGTCATCATCGCTGATGATACATTTAGCTATAAAATCCCAGATATTTGCTCCGTCTTTACTGCTGAAGCTGTGGCTATCCTTATGACACTGCGTCTAATTTCCTCACGCTCTACTCTGAAGTATTGCTTATACTCCGATAGTATGAGCGTTTTGAGCCAACTAGAAAAGTTTCACTGTGATAATCATCCAATTTTATGTTTCATCATTCATTTGTTAATCACTCTTCAGAAGAATGGCTTTGAGAGTCTATTTTGCTGGGTACCAAGTCATGCTGGTATTCCAGGGAACGAACTAGCTGACACAGCTGCACGATCTGCCACATCTGTCTTGAAAGTGTCCATACCTTTTTCTGACATGAAGCTACATACTCGAAAGTTGGTAACATCATTATGGCAACAGCAATGGGACCTGAAAGTTCTCAATAAATTGCAAAGCATTAAATTCGATTTCGATAATTTGCCAGTGCTGCGCTTGTGTAGTGCTGATGTAAAGCTAACCAGACTCCGAATCGGCCACACCCGGTTAACACACCTCCATCTACTGTTTGGAGAGCTTCCCCCCGAATGCAGTACCTGTTACGTTCCTCTCACAGTTCATCATATTTTAATAAGGTGTCCATGTTTTAATCAACTTCGCTTAAAGCTTTTTGGGAGTACTATTTTATGCTTGCAAGATTTGTTAGATGATACTCACCATCCTAACATTTTTGCATTTTTACGTGCCGTAGGTATTTTTAACAGCATATAAAAGTTTTAGCACATCTACAATTTTAAACGCTTTTTGCAAATATCTTACTATTTTGTACATTTTACTCACTCCGTGCGTTTTATACTGTATTCATACTTTTATCTGATTTTACTCATACCTTTTATCTAATTTTCATAGCATTTATCCTGTTTTATTCACTGTTTTATCAGTTATAATTGTACTGCAATTAAATTTTGTATGTACTTAGGCTTTAGAACAATTTTACCGTATTGTCTGGCGCAGCATGTCCTCATTTGGACTTTGTGCCACTAAACCCTACATTCAATCAATCAACCTGTCATTTCTTCAAGAACCGCCTGTAATTAGACCCTATTAATTGTTCAAAGAAAAAGTCTGGGCGTTTGCTTACTTTCTATTTGAATTGACTGAAATATTATTCCCTGTTACGTTCAGTTGGCGAGTTTTGAAGGGGGAGAATTTCTTTCATTCTCTTTATAGTATCAGTTATATTTAATTTGAGATATTTTCAGAAACATTACTTTTCCCAATCTTTCAATGCAAATTTGACTCTAATTGTTTCTTTTCGATTCAATTTTTTGTTAGTTATGTTTGATATTTATTTAAAATTTTGTTAATTTTTTTCTTTCTTTTGCATTTTTTTTTTCCATTTTCTTTTAATTATTTTTTTTTCTATTTTTTCTTATTTCTTTTGGTATTTAAATTTGGGGTTTCATTATTTTTCATCGAAAGAATAAGTTTTAATCTTTCGAGATACCACTACATCTATGATTATTGATTGCTTGTTTGAGAATTTAAAAGTTATCTGATCTTTATTGTGTCATCTATTATAAATATATTCTGTAGTGTACAAGCATTTGAACAAAAAATTCTATCCTGAGAAAGAAAGAAAATCCTGGATGTAGCGTTGGAAGAAATTTTTATTATCTTTATATTCATTGACAAAACTTGCTGACACTTTTATTTATTTTTTCATTGAAATAGATGATAAAACTTACAAAAAAATCTTGATCAGTTAAAAAGTATCTTTCTATATATCTTTATATTGTGTTTTGTGATCTAAAAATTTATGAATTTATTTTAAAAATATGCATTTTGCATGCATTTTTAGCATTGGTTTCAAATTAAAAAAAAAGAGAGAGATTTTTTTCCCTTTCTTTATTGGCTGAAGATTCGGCGTTACTAACACAGTGTGTGTGGTGCTTAAATAAATATTCGTAATTATCGCAATATTTTTATAATTCCAAAGGCATAGTCATAGATGTAAAACCTGCAGTCTTGTAGTTTCAATTTGAAAGAGAAGGTTAATAATAAATTTCAGAAAGTTCTAAGTTTTTAGATATTCAAATGTTTATATGACGAATTCAGATGATCATTTCAGTTTGCTTACTATTTAAAATCAGACACAATTTAACACGAGTAATATGTGGTTTGAAAAGGTTTAAGAGGAAATCTAATGAAGCGTTTCAAACTCTGGTATAAATGTTTTCATTGAAAATTTTATGGAACCCAACTTTTGAAACTGATAAAGTGTGAAAAATAAAAGATTAATATAATTTATATATTCTAAAAAGTATTGTGACTGCTAAAAAAGAAAACTGAAATGTTTGTGCAAAGATTAGAGAACATGTATGGGAATGTGTGACCTTGAATTGCAACTTTGTACTCAAAGAAGCTTCACTTTTTAAAATGTCAAATATGATGAACTACCTTCAGAAAGGTAACTTTCCCACCTCCTGCTGGCAAGTTCTCAGAGACTCATTTTTCTTTCATATTCCGACAAAATCTTTATATTGAGACCTTCACCGCTTGTCCTGAATGTAACTTAAACTTAACTCAAAATAAATTCTTCCACTAATAGAAAACTAAAATTATTTTAGCCTCTTCTACATGCAAAGTCCCTGCTTTTTGTTGTGTTATCTGCCAGAATGTATGCTCTTATTGATAATATATTTTGTGTTTTGTCATTTTTAAAATTATTCACTATAATTAATACACCTGAAGAAAGACTGCGCCATAACCAATGGAAATGCATGCTTCATTTTGTTAATAGAGCTTGTGTCCAGTGGCTTAGTTTTAATGTATGTTTGAGGGGTTATCGATTATCTCCTTGTGATCTATATATATATACATGTATCTATATATTCATTCATTTAAAATGTTTAAATTACGAAAACCTGACTAGTCTCAACTAAAAGGTTAAAAAGAAGAAAAAAAACATAACTTTCAAGAACGGTCTTGTTTAGAACATCATTCATTTAGATAAGTTAAAACAGAATATTTTTCGAAGTAAACAAATATCAACACATTTTAATTGAAATTTTTAGAAATTTTATCCTTAATTTTTTTTTCTTTCTTAGTGTATTTTATAACAACTAGGAGGCTCCACCCCCTGCTCGCTAACTCTCGCCAACCCCCGAGAATTGCTACGCAATCCTATGTGGTTCACGCCGTGAACCATGGCTCGCTGCGCTCGCTCGCCAATGAACACAATGTTCTAGCACAAAGACATAGTATATTATCATCAAAGACATAGTATTTTATCATCAAAGACATAGTATTGTACTTATGTAGAAGAATTCTATCAATGTTCTTATTGGCTTTTAAAAAAGTATATTAGCTATTTAGATTGTACATGGTGAAAAAATCAAAACATTAGCTAAATGAGAAACATATTAGCAAAATAAATTATCAAATATTGCAGTTACTCACCTAAATTCAACTAAATGTGTATAATAAATTAGTTAATGCTAGAAATTCTGAAAGTTTTAGAAAAAAATTTTATTATTTAAAAATATAAACTTTAAACCCTAACTTTTCCTTGTGAGATAATAACCCTCAAAAAGTCTTTCATTTTCAAGAACACAAAAATTTGTTTTATCGCCAAATGAAATATTTTTTGGTGATCAGCATTATTGAAATCAATTTCTATATTAATTAACATTTGTGATAAAGTACATAACATTTTAGAACAAAATAAGGATGTTTTACATACAATAAATTAAAATGCATGGCTGTTAGCATTACCCGAGAAATACCACGTGGAGGTCGCCATGCTGCATTTCTAATCGGGGAGTTTTGATTTTGGCAGTTCCCCTTGCCTACTGCCAATAGAAGTTTCAATTAAATTTTTTCCAAAAAACATTTTTTTCTGCAAAGCTCTAAGAAATTAACACTAAGCATTTAGAATTTCTTTGAAAACACAATTATAGATTTGGCATCTTGGAGCAATTACTGAAAGGCTGTCAAATGACTTAACTCTTGACAGGCCAACATAAAGTTGTCCATGACTAAAAACTTGTTTAGTCAATACTAAACTGATTTTCTCAAAAGTCTGACCTTGTGACTTATTTATAGTCATGGAGAAGGCCAGCCTAATTAATTCCTAATTGAGTTTAAATTAAATATTATCATGTTTTTAGGGCATGAATCTGAATTGAACAACCTGATAATGCTCACTCTGGTTATTGTTTCCGTTTTTAAAAGCGCTATATGTTGAGCCACCTCATGTGACATTTGCCATGTGACATTTTTAGCAGCAATCATTGGTCAATTTTCTAACGTTGCCATTCGGGAAGTTGTAATGAGGCTTTTTTTTGGTGCCGTGTAAGAGAAATATATGTATAGATTCTCACCAAATATTTCAATTTCCAGTAGTATCATTTAGAAACACATCTTGTTCACATAATTTGACAATTTTCCAGTTTTCATCTTAAGTTTTATTTCCAATTCAACGTAATATTTTGTTTAATTATAATTTTGTTAATTTTTGCACGAACAATTTGGAATTTTTTTTTGCTTGTGTAATGTTATTTTCAAAGCAATTTTTTCTCGCTTTTTTATGTAATAAATGTCAATTTAAATATTGAAATTATCATACTAAAATGAGAAATTAATTCTAAAAATGATTAGAAATCACGAAACACAATCACGTGTGCACATGCAGAATAAAATAAAATGTGTTATAACGCATTTTATTTTATTCTGCAATACAGCTTTAATTTTTATATAATCATTTGATAGATTTCACTTATATATATTATTCGCGTTAACTAGGTTATTTTTATGTAAATCATCCACTTTTATTTCACAGTTTCTAAAACAATTGTTTGAAGTCATTTTTTAAATGTTTTTTTTTTTTTTTTTGTAATTCTGATGTTTTTTAATGTTTTTGGCATCCTTAAATCGTGTTACTTTAGAAAATTTTCAATTTTAGAAACAAAAAGTCTAAAGTAGATTTCTCTGAAAAAGATAGTGATTTATTTTTCTCCGAACTTGAGAACTTTAATAACTTTTCAAATGTGTAACATTGGTTACTCTTTTGCATGTATTTATATCATTATTAATTTTATACCCATAGAATTTCCTCGAGGAATAATGGTGAAGGATATCAAAGAAAACTCTAACATCTGATTCAAAAAGTGTTCGGAAAGTATATATTCATCTTTTTTTTAAATTTAGAATAAGGGTTTCTATGCACCTGTAATATCGGGAAAATCAGGAATTGTCAGGAAAAACGAGATTTGAAAAAAAAAAAAGATAGGGAAAACGTAATTTTACACCAAAACCAGGAATTTGACATTATCAAATTGAGAAATTTCACTTTTCCGTTTTAAATTTTTATAATCCACAATAGAGGATCAAGAAAAAATATTTTTTTTCGGTCGTCAGATGTATCTTCAAGATTCTTCTATTATTCTTGAGTATCTCTTTAAAGTTGTCAGTGGAAAGGTACTTGAAATTTCTTCCTTGTTATTGACATGCCAATTTTTTTTTCTTCTTTCAAATCCTCTTTTATTTCTCAATTTTCGTTATCTTTGACTTATTAATGACAAATTCCTGTTTAATAATTTCAGAATGACATTATTACAATATTAGGAGCAAAAAGTTTTTTTTTTCACAATTTGCTATGTTTATTTATTTTAAATATATATCGATTGAAGAAACACTATTTTTTAATAAACCTCTTCCTCGGAGATGCAGTTGCAAGTTTTGCTTGATGTGGAATCACATCAGCTTTT